TAAAAACTTCTTATCACTCCCCCCAAAAGTGCATTTCTTGCTGTCTTTTTTTTTTTTTTTTAGACTGTATAGGAGTAAGGCACTGCTTAGTCCTGTCCTACTTATTGTTTTAAATGGGCTGTTATAAATTCTGTAAAGAGCCTATGGGGAGTATAGGTCATTGTTTTCAACCAATCATGGCATTGTGTTGGTAGACTACTCATGTTTGGGTGGAGCAACAGAACAGTGCTCTAGTTTTTCTACCTATTACATGGATATAGAAAGTACTCATTTCCATGTCTCAGCATGAAATGTAAGTGAAGGTTTAGCCTGAAATCACATTAGCATCCAGGCTCATTTCTTCATGCATGGGTGCAGCCATTCTTAGACAAAACCTTATGTAAGCTTTACACTATTCATTAAATAATGTAAATGTTCTGTTCCCAGTTGAACAGTTTTCTGGATAGAGCGTAAACTTTTTTAGTCTGCTTAAACACAACAGTCAGTCAAGCGAAGTCTGGCCGTGATAAAAGTCAACAAATTCTGTTTGTTATCTGCTGTCATAAACAATGTATGTAGAGTTGGTATTGCTTTATGAATAAGTTAGTCTAGTTCTTTGTAACCAGCATCACTAAAATATTTCATACAGTTCTACTTCTTTTTACTTTTATTATGTCTATGATTTATTTCTAAAGTAAAGAGAAAAGTGTTCAACATTTTGTAGCTCACAATAACAAGGGAATTTTAATGGTGAAGTGGGTGTCAGAGAGAAGCTTTGTAACCTCCTCTGTGGTGACTGGGTCAAAAGAGGAGAGTGACAAGTGTGAGGGTGGGTCTGGAACATGACTAGGGGAAAGTGGCTGCACAGTGGCGATCTGATCCCGAATTGTATCTATTTTGTTTTTGAAATGAGTGGCAATGTCCTGGGCAGTCAGCGAGTTATTAGGTGGTGGCGGTGGGGGACATAGTAGAGAGTTAAAAGTGGAAAAGAGTTGACGAGGTTTGGATGAGAGTGTGTTAATGAGAGTAACAAAATAAGTCTGTTTGGCAGCACGGAGGAAGGAATTATATTTTAGGAGGGCAGCTTTATACAAGGTGAAATCTTGCAGAGATCTAGTTTTTCGCCACAGTCGTTCAAGAGCGCGACTATGTCTTTTTAGATGTCTGGTTTCTTTTGTTTGCCACGGTTGTAGTGGACGTGGTCTAAGTCTGCGTGTAGTGAGGGGAGCCAAATTGTCTAGGGAGGATGAAAGTGAGCTGTTGAAGACAGAAATAGCCAGGTCAGGGCAGGACAGGGGTGAGATTTTGTCATAGAGGTAGTCAGTAGCAGAGTAGAGAAGAGAAGGGTCGAGGTGGCGAAGGTTTCTCCGGGTGACAGTGTGACGTGTAGGGGGAGTCAGTGTTGGGGACAGGGTGAGGGTGAAACTGATAAGGTTGTGGTCTGAGAGGGGGAAAGGGGTGTTGGAGAGGTTGCAAGTAGTGCATAGGTGGGAGAAAACAAGATCTAGTATGTTACCATCAGAGTGAGTAGGAGTGTTTGACCATTGTGTTAGATCAAAAGAAGAGGTTAGGTTAAGAAATTGAGCAGAGGCTGGGGTGTTAATGTTAGTGGCAATGTTAAAGTCACCAAGAATGATAGTGGGTATTTCCGAGGAGAGAAAGTAGGGTAGCCAGGCAGAGAAGTCATCCAGAAAGCGAGATACTGGTCCCGGTGGCCGGTATATAACAGCAATCCTCAGTGAAGTTGGAGAGAATAGGCGAATGCAGTGGGTTTCAAAAGAGGAGAGGGATATAGAGGTGATGCTTTTGTATGCTGGAATAATGGATTATCAGTGTGCCACAGTCATCACAGATACAGTTATTTGCTAAAGTAAGAAGCCCTTTTGAACTTTCCAGTTAATTAGTTAAGGATAAAGGCAAAAGTCGCCCATAGTCAACAGAGAGGACTGATCCATGTTGTCACTAGAGTGCTCTACATACTTGTAGCCTTGACTACTGGAGATTTAAAGTATTTTCCACAACACGGGCAGGGAAGCAAAAGCTATGACGGTTTTTTTCAGGTGGGAAAAATGAAAACTGGGATGTATTTTATACTCTACATGATGGACTCTTCACTATGATAGCAGTTCGCTGACTTGGGGGGCAGTCTACAGACAAAAGCTTGTTTGCTGATGGGTACCCTTTTGGCCTGTGTTGACAGGTTTTTTTTTTTGCATCAAAAGAGTATGCATGGAAAACCGACTTTGTGGACACTTGCATGTCACAGTACAGAAGCCATCGCCATGACTTTAGATGAACAAGCTATTGGTGCTTCACTTGTAAATTCTTCAATCCATAACTTCAGGAAATGCACTTGCTTCTTGTTAATTTTCAGCCTGCCTGTAACATTTTACAAATGTATTTATAATATACTTATATACTACTATATAACCAAGACATTTTATGGTGAGGTGGGCTAAAAAGAGGCTTAAAAACCCTCCTCTGAGTCATGACAATATCTTCTGTATTCCAAAGGTTCTAAATGCCTTACTTTGGTTTAGTGGTTCCTTTTAGTCCACCTCACCTTACTCTGGTTATACTTGTTGGTCTTGTTGATCCCAAAGCCTTTCCCAAAGAAGCCATGATTTCCATGTTCTGCACTAATGGTGGCCAACAAGCCTGAAACAGCAATATTCAATGTGGAATTAATGGCTCGATAATATAAATAGTAGGATGAACATTTTAGGCCCATTCACAGCTTGGCATGCATTAAGAATTGTCTTGTTGAGGCAAGTTGAGTTAAGGCAGAGTTTTTATTTTTAATGGGCTCTCAATGCATAAACGAAATTTACCTGCACCATTTTTGACAAAACAATAAAATAATGTGCATTGGAGTGCTATTCAGGATGCATGGCACTGCAACACACTTTTACCCAAGTGGTAACAAGCTTTACCGTTGCGCACAAGTCTGAATCAAGCCCTAGCATATTAGATGCTTAAACACCTGTTACTTCACATTGAGGGAATTCCTTTAACAGCTTTCAGCCATTTTAAATAATGAATAGTAAAGTTTATGTGAAATATTGGAGAGCCCAGAGTGATGGGGAACATGGGGAAAACCCACAGATCAGAACCTTCTATGCAGAAATGAACCTTTCAAAGTGAACTTGTACTGAGCTAAATCTGTAGGCTGCCATTGCTGTCCTTCTGAAAATGCTAGTTGCCTGGCTTGGTTCACCACTTTCTATGTGCATTTTCGTGCAAGTCAAGACTTTTAGGTATTAAAGTAGCTGGATCAGCATGGCAACCAAGCAACTATCATTTTCAGAAAGAGATCTCTGCTCTCGCAACCTACTTGTTTTTCTAAATAGTTCCAAATTTTCTCTGAAAAAATGATCTAGAGGGGGATTGCTTCTTGGGCATTGTATCTAAGACGATAATTGCATTTTTGTAGGTTTTTAATGCACAGGAATGAAGTGGAGGGATTCTGTTCTGATATCAAGAGTATACACACTTTCTGTATGTGGAAGATAAATGCTCCCTGTGGTCAGCAGTGACAGGTCACTTACTGACCATTAGGTAACAGAGGGAACATAAACTTTCTGTGCATTATGGGCCGTCTTCGATTTAAAAACTCGAGAAGTTAAAAGTTTTGTACAGCAGGAAGAGTTATCCAGAATACATATTTTATTGTCTGAAACTGTTTGTTCATAACAGCAGATTGGGCAATATTTTCCTGTGCTGTTGACTGCAGGTGGTTACTAGAATTTCAAAAATGTACTGTAAGAGCAGCTAGAGAATAATAGATTCACAACAATTGCCTTTCTAAAAACAGAAGCAGAGAAATAATGACAGTGTTGCTTATAGCAGCCATTTAGATGCCTGCCTTTTATTTTTTGTCCTTTAGTACAGCTGGGCTTTGGTTACAAAGCACTACATCATCCATCACAGAAGGATTTTAAATAGAGTCATCTGTGTTTACATCTGCTTTAAAGTGTATTTAGAGAAAAAAATTTATATATTGCAGCTTATTGCTCTTTAGATGTAGTGGCTGCATTCATTTTATAGGCTTTTTCCTTCTATATCCACCTAGTGACAACATTTCTTTTTTAGGGTTACCACCCTCACTCGTCACACTGTGTAAATATGTAACCACGCAAAACATTTGTTTGGTTTCGGATCAGCTCAGATTTTTACTTAAGTTTTTCGGATTTCGGATCCGAAATTTGATTCAGTTTGTTATTCGGATTTCAGATCCGTCCACATTTTTGAAGTTACATTACAAGTTAATGTAACCCCAAACAGGCAAAAAAATCTCCCCATCTGACTGGCCAGAGAACAGTCACTAGTCTGATTTAGTTTTGTTTTGAATGAAATTCAGATGGATCAGAATCTTCATTAAAGGAGCATTTGGATTAGTTTGCATTCAGACTCATTCAAATTCAGGAAGTTTGGAATGAAACAAAATATACATGTCTGAAACTGTGTCTGTAAAGAAAGAGTCCCAGAGGCGGATGCATGATGGGACTTAGTAGTTTCATCATAGCTGGAGGACCGGAGATTGCCTACTCTTGCCCTAGACCAAGAGTGGAGAAAACTTCTCCATCTACTCTTTTCCATAACATGGAGGTGGGGGGTGTTTTATAGTCCCTAAAGATAGCTGAAATGTATGTAAATATTACACTGTATATTAAAAGAAGACTATACAATTACTTTAAAACAGTGCAGGCTAGGATTCACATCTGCATGCATGACTCCTACAAACATATTATTGGAGTTTGACCAATTATAGTTGTGGGTGATTCATCATATTTTTCATCAAGTGGAACCACAGCAAGTGACATTGATCCCTTTGCTCAAAATTTCTGAGAAATATATTCGAATGATTGGGGTTGATAGGATTTTTTTTGGGGGGGAAAGTAAAAATAATCCCTGAATATGCCTGTCTGCTTTTCTGCATCACTTTAATTCTCTATGCTCTTATGAAGTTCATGTTAGAATTAGCTGTGATCCATTAGTGTGCCATATATTTTCTCTGCAGCTATTATGTGTTCTGTGAAACCTGATGGGATTCCGCAGCTGTGTCGGACGGATGAGATAGGGGAACTCTGTGTGTGCGCTCTCGCTACGGGTACATCCTATTACGGTTTATCCGGTATGACCAAGAACACGTTCGAGGTGAGTGACACAAGTTGTCGCAATTGTTTATAGTAAAACTAAAGTTAGCTGCTAATTTTATCGCCTAAGAGCAAGAAGTAAAATGGCACACAACAACTGAGAAAAAAAAAATCCACTTTAAACTAATGAAAGCTAAAATCTGATTGGCTGATCCTAGTGACTCTGCACCACAACTCCTTGCATACGCTATAGGTTCCCTTTAATCTAACCATTGACACGACATGATGGTCATCTGATCTGACTAACAGTCCTTCTGAAAAAGCCCTGCTTTGCTTGTCTAGGGGAACAGCTGTCTGCCAAGGCTGCTCATCACATCCCAATCCCCTCTATCAATAGTGGGGCAATCCTGGTGGCAAAACTCTTGTTGCTGGATTTTAAAGTCATTAGGAAGATTCCTCTGAACCGTGTTCATATTCAGACCTGCCCTACAAGTTCTGATGCGATTTCTGATGCAGAGAACTGAGATTGCACAGCACAAGATGCACAAAGTACATTCTTACTACCCTCCTGCTGATCATGTTAGATGTAATTGTACAATACTCTTCTGAAATTATGGATGATCTTGGCAGACTATATGCAGCTAAACTCCAGTACCACCGCCTGGATGCTTATAGTTTTGTCCCTGATCGTTCACCTCTTCAGATTACTTATCACAGATTTTTTCATGCAAACATTCTTTCACACTGCTATAGGAATTGGTGGTGTGTTGCTCTCAGCATGTTAAATAGTGAAGGTCGTATCATCTCCATTCAGCAGCAGACTACTGTCAGCCTGCTGAGCGCTTACCATTAAAAGCGTTTGTCTGGAGTGAATTTTAATAATTGAAGAGAATGTTCTAGCAGTGCACTTCAAGACAAAACCTGTAAGGATTTGCAAGCTGTGAGCTGTATTTTAATGTTAATGTTCTCCTGGAATTTATCACAATCTAGCAGGAATTCTAATTCCTCAAACAAAAACAAAATCATTCAATAACTAACCTAAATATTATTTCGGGAAATCACTGTAAATCCTACATAAATATTACATTATAGCAAGTAGTGCTACCAAACGTAAAATACATATACACTAAGGCTGGGTTCACACCTAGGCGTAGTGAATATGTGCGTTTTTACCGCGATTTGCGGTAAAAAACGCGCGACAAACGTGCGTTTCCAAGGGCTACTTGGCTGTATCCCAATGGAAACGCGAGACCAAAACGCCCCAAAGAAGTACATGTACTTCTTTGGCCGTAGGCCATTTTGTAGCGCGTTCAGACGGGCTGAAATACGGAAAGGTGTGAACTATACCCATAGGAAACAATGGGATTTTCAAGTTGGTACGTTTTGTAGAGCGTTCATAGAGCATTGAACGCGCGACAAAACGTAAAGGTGTGAACAGGGCCCAAGCCCAATCACTAAAATCTCATATAAGCTTTTACATGTTAATGTGGTTTTGAAAGTTCTTTTTAATTATTTTAAGCCTTCAGCTTTTGTTACAAAAGAAAAAAACTGGTGATCCTCCCATAAAAGTACTTTTGAGACAAGTCCTGTTATGGGGTAACAATGCTCTGTCCCGGTTTCCCAGTTGTGCTTACTTGCCGTCACCCTGTCACATGTGCTTCTGATGTAGACAAAAAGCAGTCGTTGTGACACACAATGTGCAAGCATGCGTCACAGCTATCACCGTCGGGAAGCCTACCCCGAGCAAACATGGGCAGCTACTGAAGGAGCTTTTGCACCTTGACAGGAAGTTTCTGCAACAGGGTGGTGGAGATCAGTAGCACTGGGATGCAATAAAGGATTAAAATTGGTGAAAAGAGTATTTTATTTTTAAAAACAAATATCATGGCAATTATTTATGATGCACATTGCTTTAGCAAACTAAGTCTCATCCAGTTTGGGTTTAGATCTACCTAAACACTTATTTTATGTACCTTCTAGAGCTTTAGAAAGCTTTGCTTATCTTATTTGTGATGTATAGAGGAGGGTCAGCTTGTAATAAATCGTGAAAATTCCAGCTGGCATACATAAGGACAGTTAGTAAGATACTCATATTTCTCACATATTCTACAGTTTGTGTAAATATAGAACATATTATTCAATGCCAGGTTGAAATTAATTTCTGCATGTTGATATTTTTTTAAGTGCATTTCTTTTAAATGTAGGTGTAAGTTGTAGGACGCAGCTGCTTACCTTTTTGCTATTTTGTAAGATAAAAAAAATTAAGAAAACCGTTGATTGTTTTCAGTGACTCTGAGACTTACAAACTTGAACTTCCATTGTGAGCAGTAAAGTACAACCATCGTGTAGCACTGCAAAACAGGAAGCAGAGCCTGAGTATATAATGAGCATTTATGGCTATGCCCCATGCACAAAAAAGCTATACTTTGCAAGTTTTTTTTCCAACTTTAACTGCTAAATATTCTTTATCATATTGAGCTGATCCCTTTTACCTGCATATCCGGAAGACAATTAAAAATAATATAATTGCTGATATGTTTTTTGCTTGTTTATTTGTTATAAAGTCAGTACTTTTCACATCGTTAGCATTACTACTCTTTAGCTGTGCTAAGGGAAGCCTGCTTACAGAACTTAATGACTCACCCTTTGTTATGTATTAGACATTTTATTTGTAAAACAAAGATTGTATATACAATAGATAGTGAAAAGAGATATAAAACAAAAGCATAGACATGTATACTCTTAAAGTGTATATAAACCCCAACAATGATCTTCTCATAATTGCTCACGTTTAGTGTATTAACGTTCTTCTGGAACATGTCACAGTCTAACAGGAATGCTAATAACCTAAATAACCTACTAACCTAAATTTTATTTTGTTAAATCACAGTAATTGCTACATAAATATTACATTATAGCAATAAGTGCTACCAAACTTAAATGACATATAAATCCAATTGCTAAAATCTCATATAAGCTTTTATATGTTAATGTACTTTCAGAAGTTATTTTCAATCATTTTAAGTCTTCAGCTTTTGTTAAAGTTATACCTAGTGATCCTGTCATAAATATCCATGCTGAGACACGTCCTGTTATATTTAAAACAAACATTGTGTATATATATAATAGATAATAATCAAAATCTAATCTAAGTGCGAGCTACAAAGCACTACTGACCGTGGTGATCAAGGTGACTAACAATAATATAATGTGCCGAGCTTAAATTAAATATGCATCCAAACATAAACAACAATGTGCCAAAGTCCCATAGGAGTGAAAATTCAAAAGTGATTACAAAAATTTAGATCCATAAAAAACAAATGGAATGGTGATAGTGGTGCATTAACATACAATGTACCACCCAAGCCTTGATATAGTTAATGCTTATTAGAACAGACAGTGGCCACATATAGTTTACAACTGATGAGAAATACAGAGGCTGACATTGCTTTGTTTTTCTCAGAAAATACTTTGTCATTAGCTTGGAACAAGCATGCAGCTGATAAGAGATGAGTCATTCATTTCTATGTGTACAATGCAGCTTGAGTCTGTGAAGCATTTTATACAGGCAGTTAACGGCATGCTGCTGAGAAGTCTCTGAAGGCCACATGAAAAGGGCCTTAGAGGGACTTAGAGCTCTACCTGCTGTCTAAATAAAAATACAAAATAGTAATATGGTGCCATATTTACCTGAAAAAATCCCCCATATTTTATTAATGTTTTTTGTTTTATTTTTTGGCCATAATACATATAGAGAACATATGTACAAAACCCTACTACAAATTTCCTTTAATAGCAAAACTAGGACAGCAATATGCAAATCCAAATTGATGGTAAGCACGTATTATAACAGGCTGTTTTGAATATGAATATATTTACATTGGAAATATACATTTTTACATAAGCCTGAGTGATTGAGCCGGTATAAAAAAACTTGAATGTCATCGGAATTATCTTTCTTTGCTTTTTTTCTTGTTTTGTAGGTTTTTCCAGTGACCAGTTCAGGTGCGCCAATTAGTGAATATGCATTTATCAGGACCGGTCTTCTTGGATTTATAGGACCAGCTGGGCTGGTCTTCATTGTTGGGAAAATGGACGGTCTGATGGTTGTGAGCGGGCGGAGGCACAATGCTGATGACATAGTGGCAACGGCTTTGGCAGTAGAGCCAATGAAATTTGTCTACAGAGGAAGGTGAGTAGATAATAGCTGGCTCTCAGGTTGAGTTTAGAAACCTTAAATTTAGTCATGAGAGCACATAGATGGAAGTAAAATAAATAGTGTGAACAATAATGCATGAGAATAATAATCTTAGTACTTAGATGTGATGCATGAATTGTTTTAATAAAATATGTTGAGCTAATGTTTGCCCAGGGCCAGTTTTTTCTATGCTTTGAACGAGTTGGGAAGAGATGGAACCCCTTGTTCTCCTCTATTTTATTTGCCAGACTTCTAGCGTTGGTGTACATACATTTAATTCCTCTCTTTTTGTGGGACAAAAGTTTACTACCTTGTTGTTCCCCACTATTTTTATTGTTATTATTCTGCCTTGATTTCGGTCGTCCGTTGTTAGTTATACTTACATGTGCCAACGGATTTCCTATATTGACTGGAGTGAGCCCACTATTATTAACTCCTTTTTTACTACTTTCTGTGTTATTTTTATCTATGATTAAATTATCAACGTTTAGTTTAAGTAATTTTATTTTTATACCCTCCCCCCCACTTTCTAGTTTAAAAGCTCCTCCAGTCTTTCTACCATTTTCCCTCCCAGGAATGCTGCACCTTTCCCATTAAGATGCAGCCCGTCTCGGCTGAAGAGCCGATAGCCGACTGCGAAGTCAGCCCAGTTCTCCAGGAAACCAGTTCTCCAGTTGAGGATAAATCCTCCAATGGAAAAACCTGTTCAGTGACAACTGTCTAAGAGGGGGATTGCCACTTATTTACTTTTTTTTTATATCCAAGACAGAGATCTTTATTATTCCCGAATTTAAAAGGTATAATTTTTTTATAGTGTCTATTAAAAGTATTCACTCCCTTGTAAGTTTTTATTTTTTTATTTTGTGTTGCCAATAAATCATTGTCGATTTTATTTATTAAATTGGCACTTCTTAGATGTGGTGGCTGCACTAATTTTTTCAGGTCTTTTTCCCTTTATTTTTCCCTTGTAATCCTACAAATAACACTTCCTGTCCCTGAGTGAGAGCTATGGCAGATACTGTTTTTCATCTCCGCTACATGGCGAAAGGGGAGATTAGTAGCTTACAGAAGAAAGATAAGATTGTTTAATGCTTCCAATTCATCGCTCAGAAAGTGATAGGGACACTGAATTTCTGGCAAGATTAACAGGTATTTTCTGTTCTTGCTGAAAATGTTGTTTTTAGCCTGACAAATTAAAGCAAATGAAGGTGCTGCATCTAAGGACTGATAGGCTGCAATAGAAAATGTTTGTTGAGTTTAGTAATCCTTTAACATACATGAAGTGCCTCTAGGAGCTCTTTATGTTGGGAGCTTGGATCAGAAGACCTGACACTTTCAACAATGCTAATCATATATACATAGGTGCCGTTTTCAACTTAGAATAGTTTTGCTTTAGCGTATCATTGAAACTAGGGATGCACCAATACCGGCTTTACAGTATCGAGTACGAGTACTGATATTTTGCTTTCGGTACTCGCTAGTACCGATACTGGTGCTTCCGCTGGCATGGAGGCGGGTAATGACATGCCACCCAGCTTCCTGATTGTCGGGGAAGCTGGCTCCATGTTTGGTCTGGCAATTGGCTTCCCTGCCAATTAGGAAGCCGGGTTTGCGAGTAGTGAACCGCCTCCTGGCTTCCTGATTAGCCAGGAAGCGGGCCCCATGCTGATTGACTGGAAAGACAGCTTCCCAGCCAATCAGGAAGCCAGGAGGCTGTTTATTACTGACCGCCCGGCTTCCTGATTGCCCTAGAAGCCAGTTCCATATTCACCTGCTGCACTGTCAGTCAGAGGAAATCTTCCTCTGACTGGAAGTTCCGGTATTGGGGAAGGTATCGGAGCATTTGGGCGCGCACGAGTACGAGCCCAAATACTCGGTATCGGCACTGATACTAGTATTGGTGCATCTCTAAAACATTGAAGAAAACTGATGGGCATACTTTTCCTTTCCTAGCTAGTTCCAGAGTTATATACTAATACTAGATCTCCTCTCCTCCAGGCATTGAACTCCAGTTAACCATGTGTATGTTAATTTATAGGAACAATCAGTGCTGTCTTCAGAGGCGAGGCTTCATAGGGTATTTAATAATGCTCTGTATCTTTTTTTTCTGTTGACACAAACATGACATAAACTGAATTGCGGCTTTTGTGAGTGAGTAATGATAACATTTCATGAGCAGTGCTGACAGCTCACATGGCTGCAGGCTCAACCAGGCCGATAATTATCAGAGAAAACTCATGCGAGCCAGTGTCTGTCATGTTCCTGCTATGTGCTATGACCATTAAATGTCTGAAACCTCACGTGCAGAAGTGCTTTGATATACTCCATCTTTTGCTGCAACAAAATGTTTTGTCATAAGGCACTTGGCAATAAGGAATATACATTTATTTGAACATATGGCTCCTAAAGTGTGATCTGATTTGCATGATAGTCATAGTAATACATTTAGTTGTTTTTTAACCAACACAAAAATTTTACATTTTATATTGCTGTATATTTACTGAATAAATATGTGGCCACTTAGTCACTGATGTAAGAATTTGACATTTTCTGATGATGACATTTTGAATAACACAAAAAGTACACAGTTAACTTGATAGTCACAACCAAATTCTGTTGAGGTGCACTATGGCCTTATCAAATGATATACCCGAGGTCCTCAGGAGAAGCATTCTTCTTAAGACCAGATGTGGTTTCAGAATTATTTTATTTTTAAAACTTAGGCCTCTGTCAGTCCACAGCTTGACATGTAGTTTAAAAACCTATCAGTTCCTATCCTACAAAGATCAGTCCAAGGAAATGCCATATAATTCAAATTGACAAGGGACCCTGAGGTGACAGAGTCTGGACTCCTCTTCATTAGTGGACAATACCCCTTTTTATAAGAAAAACAATGAAGGTGTTCATGGGAATTAAAGATGAAGGAATGTGCCCTCCCAAAAACAATGCTTCATATTTTGGATTTGCTGGATGTGCCACAATACTACTCATTTTCCAGTATCAAAGAAAATAAGCTTGAACTTTTTGTTAAGAGACAAAATACTACATACCAACACCAAAAGCTCATAGCAACTGTTAAGCATGCTGTTAAGACTATATTGGTGTTATCCTTCTTTACCACACTATGTTGACCATACACACAGTTAATTTCCTATAAACTTCAACTGCTTTTGACCAGCTTTCAAATGCAAAAACCAATAAACAGGTCAAGGCCAGTCAAAATATATAAACTGTTGGAAAGTTATGTGGATCTGATTGTACAATTAAAAGCCAACTAAAAGTGGTTAAAGCTGCTAAATCCGGGCCTGACGGGTTCACGCTCGTATACTACCGCCAATTTGAGTCCCTCCTAGCCCCGCACTTCCTGAAGGCTTACAATGCCATTATTGAAGGGACCCCCATGCCACCCGACTCACTGCGAGCTCACATTACGGTAGCTACCGCCCAATTGCCCTCCTAAATGTTAACCTTAAGTTATTCGCGAAAATACTAGCCAATCGTATATTGCCGTATGCTGGACCTCTAGTTCACTTTGACCAGGTAGGCTTTGTCCCATCCCGCGAGGCTTGGGACAATACTATTCGAGTACTGAACGTGATCAACTCTGTGAGGCAACATAAATGCCCGGCGATGCTTCTATCGGTTTGTCCAGACTACTCTCAGGCACATCGGGCTGGGCCCTAACATGTGCTCTTGGATCTCCTCCCTATACTCCCTGCTCACAGCTGCAGTCAACTTAAAAGAGACACGGTCCGAGTAGTTTCCCATCTCGAATAGAACGCGACAAAGTTGCCCTTTGTCACCCCTCATTTTTGTCCTCTCGTTAGAGCCCTTTTTATGTGCGATTCGGGCAGATGAATCAGTTGTGGGTATTTCCTTACACTCTGGAACACACAAAGTGGCAGCATATGCCGACGACCTGCTCTTCTTCGTCTCCCGTCCCCACTCCTCCGTTCCAGCGCTGCTCAGGGCATTCGAAATCTACGGAAGCCTGATGAATTTCTTGATGAATCCCAACAAGTCGGAGGCACTCAACGTCTCTTTACCTGTCCTGGAACTGGCAAGGATCCAGAATGCATTCCGCTTCAGATGGGCTCCGCGACATATCTCATATCTAGGCACCCACATTACTGCAGACTTGTCACAGATATCTCCCCTTACTGTCCAACCTCAAGGGAGAGATGTCTAGGTGGCGGTAACTCACCCTGACCTGGTTTGGTAGGTGTGCTGCCCTTCGGATGACAATTCTACCACGCATTCTGTACCTGTTGCAAGCATCACCCATCACGCTTCCACCCCACTTTTTCTCGATGGTACGACGGCAGTCTCTGAGCTTTGTTGGGCAGGCAAGCACCCTCGATTGGTGTATCCCTCCCCAAGCAGTATGGGGGTGTCGGCCTTCCAGGCGTTCAGAGGTACTACAGAGCAGCTCACCTTAACCGGGTGATAGACTGGTGCTGTCACGCCACACATAAGCAATGGGTCCCCATGGAGCTCTCGGAATCGAAGGTACCCTTGAACAGCTTGCCGTGGCTCTCCTCTCGGCTCCCCCCCGAAGTGTCGTCGCACCCCACTATTTGCCCAACGGTGAAGGTCTCTAGGACGGCCCTGCAGTCCTCTGACTTATCCCCTTCTCCCTCTCCGCTAACCCCGCTGTTAGGTGACCCGGATTTCCCACCAGGCAGGGACCATGGACACATTCGCCGTCTGATACCTGCAAACAAATTCCGAATGGTAGACTTCATTACAGCCGGGAAATGGATGTCGCATGATGAGATTCAGAACCTACTATCCCCTCCATTGCCCCAATGGGGCGCATACCAAATCAGACACTATCTAAGATCAGTCCCGGGGGAGCGAGAGCTCTTGCGCCATCTTACGCCATTCAAATCTATATGCCATGCAGGCGAGCCCATTCGACATTCACTGTCGCTCTTGTACAAGCTTCTGTCGGCCCCTGCAGACTCATTCTGCCCTATGTTCCTACGAAAATGAGAGACTGAGTTAGGACCTTTACGCAGCAGCAACGCACTGTAGCCCTGTCACTGGCACACAGATCCTCCATGGCGAGTAAGTACCAGGAACAGGGTTACAAAATTTTGACACGATGGTACAGGGTACCGTCTGTCCTGCACCGCATTGACAGATCCGTCCCAGACGTGTGCTGGAGATGTGGAGTGGCCACGGGAACAATGATACACATTTTTTGGCAATGCTCGGTCATACGAATCCGTATCAGTACGATCTGTAATTAATTAACCAGCTACTAATTACCCCCATTCCAGATGACCCGGCAGTTTTTCTCCTACATATGGTTTCCCCCTCCATCAAGCGATATAGAAAGTCCATGGCGATCCATTTGATCAACACAGTGAGATCCTGCATCCCGCGGATATGGCGGCAGACTGGGCCCCCTTCGCTGCGAATGTGGTTCTCGGTGGTGGACGACATGTATCGCATGGAGGAATTGACGGCATCGCCCCGAAACACGGAGGAACAATTTCGGTCAACCTGGTTGCCATGGACTGCCTATATTTTATCCCCCGCATACTCCCGGGAATGGTTACTGTCCGGATCCCCACAGGGAGAGGCGGAGGGGACGGGGTCGGAGGATGCCCGGGGCACCCAGTCCCAACCACGGTAATCTTTCCTCTTCTTAAACCTTTGTGTCTCTCTTTCTTCTTTGACGTACCCTTTTCTACTTTCCTTGAACAGTCCTGGGGGGTTGCCACATAGGACTTTGCCCCACCTGACATTCCCATGGTGAAATGCTTAGATATTGCACATTGGACAGAATAGGTGGGGGCCAGGGGCACAGGTGCACTGCACTTCTCTTGGTTACTATCATTTGGTTTTACCTTGTATACGCTATGTTTAAAGGATGTGGTTAGCACTTGTGGCATTGTGAGGCAATACCACGGTGTTAGGTGGCCTCAAAGTCACCCAGGGTTCTCAGCCAGAGGGGCTGAGTGGCTCCAGGAAGACATTACTGGTACCAGGAGAGAACTGCCTTTTCAGTTCTTTCTGGGTTTTCTGGATCAAGGTTGGGATCCTGGAGCCAGGAGATTTCTTAGAGCTCTGGGTGGGAAGAAATCTCCATTCCTGGGTCCATGCTTTGGTGGTGACCAGCACCTGATTGTGCACCTGTTTACATCCCTCATGAAGTGTGTGCTGGGATGTGTTCAGGGCCCCACCTGTGAGTCAGGAGAGCTCCACCCCGGAGTCAGTGTGGAGGCCAGGGCAGCAGGGAGCTGCGGGTTTGTGAACCATATTGAGAGGATTGGCATGTTATTGCTGTTGTCTGGAGGAACCAGACAGTGGCCCTAAAGATTGAGGCCGGAGCAGCAGTGCTGCGAGAGAGACTTGTTAAAAGACTGGGACACCTTGAGTGTACGTGACAACTCGAGGATTGGTGAGCCCCTATCTGTTATGCTACAGCAAGCTATTTATGTTGGATTTCGTGTTATCTATTGTTTTGAAAGCAAATAAACTGCATTGTACTTGCACCTCCAGTCTTCAGTGGAGTGTCCTTGTTACACACTATATTGTTGCACGGTAACGTACATGGAGCATATGATCTCAAGACATTTGTAATTGCAACGTGCCCTGACAATGCTATGTGTCTAGAATGTTTACAGTCATGTAACGTAATTTTTCCTTGGATACCCCAATCTGAAATGTAATGCTTCTTTAATGAGCGGGTCCATGTATGTATACGAATGCCGAATATACTTGACTGGAAGCTGTTTACTTTATCCAATGTATACAATGTATGATCTCTTTTACATGGTTTAATAAACAAAGAATAAAAAAAAAAAAGCTGCTAAATCAATCATTTATCGGATCATCAAGATCTTCAAGGAGAGAGGTTCAATTGTTGTGAAGACGGCTTCAGGGCGCCCAAGAAAGTCCAGCAAGCACCTGGACCGTATCCTAAAGTTGATTCGGCTGCAGGATTGGGGCACCACCAGTGCAGAGCTTGCTTAGGAATGGCAGCAGGCAGGTGTGAGTCCATCTGCACGCATAGTGATGCAAAGACTTTTGGAGCATGGCCTGGTGTCAAGAAAGGCAGCAAAGAAGCCACTTCTCCCCAGGAAAAAGATCAGGGACAGACTGAAATTCTGCAAAAGGTACACGGATTGGACTGCTGAGGACTGGGGTGAAGTCATTTTCTCTGATGAATCCCCTTTCCGATTTGTTTGGGGCATCCGGAAAATACCTTGACCGGAGAAGAAAAGGTGAGCACTACCATCAGTCCTGTGTCATGCCAACAGTAAAGCATCCTGAGACCATTCATGTGTGGGGTTCCTTCTCAGCCAAGGGAGTGGGCTCACTTATAATTTTGGTCACCATTAGGGTCAAGAAAACTTTCAGCCATGAAGGGATCAGTGATTCTAACATTGGGCAATTAAATTCTACAGGAGAATTAGGATGTCTTCCTCAAATCTAAATCTTAAAAAATGCATGGTCTTTCAATATTACAATAATGTAAAACACAGGAATAAGTCTGCCTGTTGCGATTGTTGCCCATGAAAGAGGTTCAACTTTTTAATTAAAACGTTAAACCTTTTTAAAGACCTGACTTTGTGCACAGGGGCACAGCCATGCTGAAACAGAAAAAAGTCTTCCCCAAACTGTTGGAAGCCTACAAATTCCTAAAATTGCCTTGTATATTGTAGGATTAACTTTACTCTCCACAAAACACCTGAACTCAATAATTTGGGGAGTGTACAAATGCTTTGGCCATTTAGTGTATAAGGATGTTCTTATTTGAGTCTGAACTCCAGACGAACAACAAGCATCCAGATAAAATGCATATTCAGCAGTTGTTTTACCTTCCAAAAGATTTGTATTTTTGGGAATCCAGCCCTGAGATTCACACAGCCATGCCAGACAACAGAGTTAGCCTGGTGATGTGACTTTTCTGCAGTTATGAAGTAAAGTTTGGTAATCCCCCTGCCCCATGCCTGTGACTGAGCAGTCAAGAAACATCATTAGTCTGATAGTCATCTCTCTTCTCCACCTTGCAGCAGAAGTTAATGCTGTATACCTGATCGCCCCCTAGTGTTACCCTTCCCTCTCCCATTCTGAGTTCTACCATTCCAGAAAAGAAATACAATTTGTGTATGCTGTTTAAAGAACATCCTTTAATTGTTATTACCACTTCTAAAAGTTGAAGATCAGATTGCATTTTAGGAGCCATTCATCCAAATAATTTAAAAAGGATTCTCAAACCTTTTCTCACCAGTGTAAGGTTGGATGCAGCATCCATTCCTTACAAAGAATTACATAGAGGGAATATGTGCATTCTGTCTGGCTTTCGAAGTAATCTGGTGCAAAGAGCAGTGAGGAAGAGCGAAGTGCAGCAACCCACTGACACCGATTAGAATTCAGTTTATCGCAGTCAGATCGGTTTAGAGATTTTTTTTTTTTCCTATTTGATTGGTTATTGTGGGTAACTGCAATTTGCACATCCTTTCCTTTGCACTTATTAAAACTAGGGATATTCAGATACCAGTGTTGATACCTGTTATTTTCATGAGAACTACTAGGGTAACAGCATTTTCAGCTGTGACAGGGCCTCACACACACACACACACACACACTATATAAAACTGATCATACATTAAAACAGGGATGCTCAAATCCCAGAAGCCCCGTATGCTCTTTAAAAATGACAGCTGCCTCATAACTTTTCAGTTTTTCTGTAGTCTAGTCTTGGAGCTGGAAAAGTATCTGTACTTTACTTGTACCAAGTATGGTACTTGGTATCTGAACATCCCTAATTAAAACCAAAAGAATCAAATTGTGATACTACAAAATGGTTACAATATAGCTGGATCTCTGTCCTAAATCTTACATGGATTTTGTTTTTTGTTTGTTCAGGATAGCAGTGTTTTCTGTGAATGTCCTGCATGACGAGAGGATAGTTATTGTTGCAGAGCAGCGGCCTGACTCTACGGAGGAGGACAGCTTCCAGTGGATGAGCAGAGTTCTACAGGTGAAGTACTAGAGCTGAAAAAAAGTTTTTTTTATTCATTAAATCAAATTTAAATAATAAACTTTTATCCTATAAATTAGAACATCAGACAACAGTTTCAGACAGGTGAAGAGCAAATCCAAAGCCATTAGGATACAATAGATGTTTCTTGTGTGAAACACCAGAAATTATGTATTGTTCTTTAAAAGAGAACTATGGGGTCAGGGCTTTTCCCCATAGTTCTCCTAAGGGTCACAGGACAACACAAACTAGCGTTCTCCCGTGACCCAAAGCTCAGTATGCCGCGAGCTACAGCTTGCGGAATACTGAGATGCTGCAGCCTGGACGGATCCCGACATTGCTGTCGAGTGAGCCGTGAGTTACACTCACGGCTCTCTGCAGGGACATGATCGAGAAGTGAGCGAGCGAAGGTATGCGTTCGCTCACTTCCCGATCTATTAAGATGACCTGTGACAGTTCCATTGTCACAGGTCGGCTCAGATTATGAGGCTGAGTGAAAATAACTCGCCTCATAATTCTCCTTTAATAATTCCTTAGATGCAAAGGCACATGATACAATTTTATATATAACAGTATTATATAGGTAATGATATACACAAAGGAAAATAAACATATAGGTAAAGAAGACCTAAGCCAATAAACAACTTAAATTAACATCACAATGAAGAACGTGAAAAACACAATGTAAATAAACAAAGCATTCCAAAATGCTAGATCCAGATTAACACTAAAGGGCATGCATAGCTAAAACTTTTTTTCTAGTTTTGGATGAGTGGTGAAGGGTTAGATGGGATTATATTTCTGTCTGTTTCCTGAGTGAGGAGATTCACCCTCTCTATTTGTTCTGGTGAATCAGTGTCACTAACACAGGCAGTGATTACCAATGTTTCGGTTGTTACCAGAACAGTAGGTGAGGGGAAATCTTCCAATACAGACACTGTATGAAATGTCTCCAATAAAATTCAGCAAGTCCAGTTGCCTTGAGTTATGTTTTGCAGATAGACACTTGTTCTGTCTTAAGAGAAAATCCCCCCACATTGTGTAGTGATATTCTTTCACTTCCTGTGTTTCAGAGACAGAAAGTGAAGGGATATCTCCCCAGCAGGAGCACAGCAAAAAAAACAACTTACGGGTGTTAACACTTCCCCACTTTATCTAAAACTAATTAAAAATACATTTGGGCTAAAAATTAACTTTAGGACCCCTAAGGCCGAATACTATTGAGTACTTGTATCTATTTCACCTGCTTACTTTTAAAGGCATAGTCCACCTTTGTGACCATGTTTCATGTTACACCCATATTTAGGGTGTAGCATGAAACATGGTCCCATTCTCTAAGTATGTAGACTTTGAATCAATAGACCCTACCCTTCCTATAGTGCACAGGGGGGAATATGATAACAACTTCTAGATGGCTGCATCAGAGCCGTAGCTAGCTCCTTTTGCGCCCGAGGCAAGAATAGAAAATTGTGCCCCACAACAGACGTGTGCGGTAAGTGACGTCAAGAGCCCCGCCTCCAGGATGGCGGCGCGCATGCACAGAATGCACTGCTGGCCAAATCCAAAATATCATAAAAATGTGATCCCTGACATTTCCCTTTCGAAATAGAAAAAAAGATTGAGGACACAGAGTCTCAGCCCATACAGGTGGGGGAGAGCAGCAGGGATCCGAGGAAAGGCTGCAGCCTGTGCTGCTCCTGTTCTCCTTGCCAAGCCGTGGCTGTGTTGGCCACTTGGCGCCGCTGTTACCAATGGCACCCTGTGCTTGCAATGGCAACAGGGACAAGGGGGCGCAGCCAGACCGGCCCTGGCTGCGCCTGAGGCAAGTGCCTCACTCGCCCCATGGTAGCTACAGCCCTGAGCTGCATATGTATGGAGAACAGCAACTTTTCTGTCTGCTGTGCTAATAAATCTAGACCGGCTAATACTGTTTTTCTGTCACGTTTGCGTAAGATTTTTTTTTTTTTGTGATTAAAAGACAAATTATTAATGGCAGAGTGTTTACTGAAGAAAATAAGATGTATACACTGTATAAGTTGTATTTTGTAAAGTTGTTGTGTAAAAGCTACATAATCTCATCTCTTCTTGATTTCCTGTAGGCTATTGACAGTATCCATCAAGTTGGAGTTTACTGTTTGGCTCTGGTACCAGCAAACACACTCCCTAAAACTCCCTTAGGTGGCATTCACCTGTCAGAGACCAAGCAACTGTTCCTTGAGGGGTCACTCCATCCATGCAATGTGCTCATGTGTCCTCACACCTGTGTAACGAACCTTCCAAAACCCAGACAAAAGCAGCCAGGTATGTCCAGGTCTCACAACATGCTAACTCTGAGACATAAATAGACCTACAGATACACATACCTGCAGCAGCCACCCAAACCCATGTAGTCACGGTTGATCACTGGGCTTTTCTAAAAGGCAAAGCCTTGACACTTATAGGTAGCTTCTGAGTTTGCTAATAAGCCCCTCAAATCTTATTGAACCAGTTTACAATCTTTAGAGACTTGCTAGCAAGAATGTCAGACACTTTTATGTGCAGAAGAGATATACAGACTGTATTAAAAACCTTCTTGCTAACAAATTTCTCCAACTGAATGTGCACTTTAGGTAGTTGCTTCAGAGTTATATTAAGCAGTTTTGAGTTACTTTTGCATGCAGCTTCACTTGTATGATGAAGGGAACAATGGGGTACATTATCTTCTAATGGACTAATCGACCCTAAACTGGTGTTTCTTGGTAATTGCTGGAGAATTGAACCATCGCATGAATTTCTGTGCTTGAGCTTTTGTGCCTGAAGACCTAATATGGCCCTTGTGGGGGCTCTTCCTGTTGAGTTTTTGTTATTTTATTGTAACAGAACCTAATTGTGGTTATATAATTTTCACGGAGCCTTCATTTGGGCTTTTTTATTTTATCCTTTCTATAAGAGAACAGAATGCACGTAAACTTGTCTAAACCATTTTGAATTGCAATCTGTTTCCCTGTGAATTACCTTTCCTTCTACAAGGCAGCAGAGCACTTCATTAAGAACACTGAGCTGTTAGACCTGCCTTCTACTAGCAATCAGAGGTATTGCAGAAGATATATGGAATCACCCCGTGTAGTTCTTAATCATGCCATTGTCATATTCTGAGCCAGTTGCAATTATCATTTTAAAACGGAGACATTTGCTACTGCACCCAACTTTCTCTATTATTATTCACTGCAGGTTATCTGTGAGAGCTCAAAGCTCCACAACCAGGATGTAGACTTAGGTACTGAAAAAAAAGATCAGAAACCAATTTGTGATTTTTGCAGTCATGTGATCACCTTGACAAGCCTAAAAGATTATATTTGTTTAAAGGAGAATTATTAGGTGAGTGCTTTTCACTCACCTTATAGTTCTAGCCGACCTGTGACAATGAGACTGTCACAGGTCGGCTCAGTAGATCGGGAGGTGAGCGAACACATACCGGTGTTCGCTCGCCTCTCGATCCTGTCACAGCTCTCTGCGGTGACACGGTGACAGGGGAGGGGCTGGATTCTCCCCGCTCTGATCCTCCAGCGCTGACTGGCGGGTCGGATGGGGGAGGGGCGGGTACAGCTGGCTCTGCCTCTAGATAGGCAGATCCAGCTGTCACTCACACAGCGGGGCGGATCTAGGCATAATTGTCAGGATCCGCTTCAGCTGCGGCGTCTCAGTATACCGCGAGCAGTAGCTTGCGGTATACTGTGGCGTCTCAGTATACCGCAAGCTGCAGCTCACGGTATGATGAGCTTAGGGTGACGGGAGGACGCTAGTTTGTCTCCTCCCGTTACCCTAAGGAGAACTATGGGGAAAAGCCTTAACCCCATAGTTCTCCTTTTAAAATGTATGTAAAATGGCTAGTGAAATGTTATGTATGTTTAGTGGGATTTCAAACTAGAATGATTTCTTTGCACAGTGTTAAAGTAGATTGATTCTTATGTGATGTTTGCATTGTATTGTCCCCTGCAGAAATTGGCCCTGCCTCTGTGATGGTGGGGAACCTGGTTTCTGGCAAGAGAATTGCACAAGCCAGTGGAAGGGATTTGGGACAAATCGAAGACAATGATCAGGCCAGAAAGGTAAGTAAAATCGTAAGGACTGATAAACATAGACAAGGAAGATCTATGGTAACTTCCTCTCACCACTAATTGTGATGAAAACCTTGCAAGATACAGCAGTTGATTGTCATTTTAGGAGACTGACAATAATGTTATCTGTAACAGAGATAAACAATGACACTGGCTAGTTAATGTGAAAAATGTAAATGTATTTAAATAAAGGTCACAGGAAAGTGGCAGATAGGATAATGGGCCTCTTGATTGGGAAATTTCTCATAAGGGCAGATAAGCTAATCTAGTTACCTTAAAGTTATTATGTAGCCATGCTATGGACAGTATTTATAGATTTGTAATAAATGATCTTTAAAGCAGGCCCTCACTGACCTCTGTAGCTTCAGGCATTGTGGAGCAATTCATCCTAAAACTTCACAGCAGAAGAACTGTTGTTGTTGTCCTCTCAACAACTTCAGTTTTTCTGCTGTGAGGATAAACACAGATAAGGAGGTTGGTGAGGGCTTTCCTAAAGTGCAAATGCCAAAAGCCAGCAGTGCTCATTGTACTTCTGAGGCCAATCGCAACAGTAATGCATCTTACCTACTCACATATCAGACACTTTTGGTTTTCTGCATGTCAGGTCACTTTAAGCACATTGGGTACCCAGAATGCCTGGGTACATGGACATAAAGATACTTCCTGAGTTGATAGGTTAGGATCCTGACTCTACCATATCCTACCTTGTAATTCACACTATTGGCCCATTACTGGGATGGGTACTTCACCATCCCATAGTGAAGTGTGAAGAGGCAAGCAATGGGGTTGGGTTCTTATTCTATTTAATTATCAGAGCACCCAGGCATTTTTGGTACCCCAGGGCGCTTTCTCTGAAAAATAGGAAAATACATGTCTGATGTTTTTTTTTTTTTTTTTTTTCTTGATGGGTAATTGAGAGGTCAGAAAATACATTTCATATTTTTACTTGAGAGGCAAAGTGAGCAGTTACAGTTAACAACACAGATTTAATATTATCATATGCTTCCCTTGCTCTGAGTTGTCATTTATTGTGTTATTTTATTGTCTTTGCATTAAAACAAATCATGTTACATCTTTGGAGAGTAATGAAGAGTGACATTGTAATTTAGATCTGCAGGAACGCGCTGGCTGGTTCTGACCCATAGTTATTAAGCGACCTATCCTTTTTATAAATGTGTTTATATTGATCCGCATGAAACAAATAGTCATTTTACATTATAACAGGATGGCATCTTAGTTCTGACTGCTGTGAAAATAAATTCATCATAGTGTTTCTGGTGTCACCAGTTCAGCTGGGTTTTTCAAATTATCTATGTTTAACCCTTCAGCTGCCCTCATGGCAGATTGGAGCTAAAAGCAGCCTAGACATTTAATGCTAAGCAGTATCTGTTTGCAGAGTTTGGTGAGCTTGGTATTCATTTTTACATGTATGTTTTAGGTATCGTGAGTGCATTGCTGGTTTGGCATGTAAATGAAACGCAAGCTTCAGGTTTAACTTTTTTTTAGTTTTAGATAGATAAGGAAAGCGTTAAGATTAGTCATGTTTTGTATTTCAGTTTGTGACCTCACTGGGGGAGTTTGCCCTCAAATCCTCTCCCTGTGATGCATACACAAGAAACGGGGATTACAAAGAGAGTAATGAAAACATTATTGGAAGTTCCAGGTTTTTGCAACTATACTAAAAGTCGTTTTGTCTGTGTCCTTGCTGCAAAGATTTCTCATCACTTCCTTTCCTGACAGAAAGTGAGGGGAAATCTCCCGCACAGGGACACAAACAGCAGTAACAAACTTGACAGAGGATCTAAACCTTCCCTGCTGTATCCAAAACAGGATAAGTTATGGTGGGAGTTGGTCTTAAGGTGAGATTAAGCAGCCAAGAAAAGCTCTGGTGTTCCCCACATGTGTTCTTAGAAACGCCAGAAAGGTGGCAATGGCCAGAATTGCCTTACTGCCAGTCCAGGCCTCATTGCACTTAGCTTACACCAAGGCCTACGTTAGTCTCTGTGCAGGCTATTTTTACCTATGTGGTCATTTTAATCTGCATTAAAGGATTAGCAGTCTATATTATTATTGTAAAATGTTTTCTCCCTCCAGTAAGTCTCGTGATGTAAAGTAAATTAATGTAGATAAGGTCACTTGCACTCCAGACTAATTTTCAGTCAATGTTTATTGACCTCTCATTGTGTCACATTGTCAAGCGACATTTCGGAACCACGCAGTTCCGTCTTCAGGCAAACAACAAGTACATCCGCCCAACTCCAAAGGGTTTCTATTCGATCAGGAGTGCGATGGGTTCCGTTTGAATATTGTAAATGTAAAGTATACACATAGGGCAGCATGTGCTTTAATACATTTTGCATGCATAGTACTGATGGGGTACTATTACAGATTTTTAGTTTTAGCCACCCTCTACACACTTCCTACATAACAATTGCACTACGCTTTAAATATAAATGCCTATATATACAGTATATATAGTGACCCATCTAATGCACGATGCTAAAAATAAATTATATAAACCAGTCCTTTAAATCCTTGCGAGTTCCACTTAAACAGCTTTCAAGCTTATACCTCCAGTGCTTCTAAACACTATAGAAATGTTCATTCACAATCATGATAAAGTGCTCCTAATAGAAAGTCCATTGCCAAACAAATGTGCTCTTCAGTGAGATAATCGTCAATTAGAAGTGCTCACACACCACCGTCATGTCTCAAATCCTCTTCCGCACTCACCAGATTGAGTTCACCATTACGTTATAGATGGACCTTATGTGCCTTATCTGAAAACCTGGAAAGCATTATTCAACTCTGCTCCGTTGACACTTCACTGTTAAGGTGCTGCTTGCTGTTTCCCTTCTATGTGTAAATAGTGCCACTTTACACCGGCTTCACCGCTCTCTGTATTCTGTCAAGCAGTTACTCATCCGATCCAACAAGGCTCAAAAAGATATATAAATAATTCCCATGGCATTGCCAATTAAATCTTCCTTTATTAAAAAACATTAAAATGCACTTACATAAAATCTGTCACTTATTAGTTTATCACACCGTCCTTAATCCTCCGGCCAGTGTCTCTCTCCTTCCAATGCGTTTCATTGATTGACTTCTCCTTTGGGATGCCATACCTTTTGTTGCATCTCTGCCACTTCCAATATTCTCGGAACAAAATGGACACTTGCCCCAATATACTAATTCAGGCCTCAGTATTTTGAACCACTAACCCAGAACAAGTATGCAGATCAGTTTAGTCAGAAATCCTTCTCTTCATACTTGTTCCAGGTTAGTGACTTCGTATTGAAGCCAGAATTGGGACATGACAACAAGGCAAGTAACATTTGCTGAATGAGAACTCGGCAATTCCAACCTCCGTGTTTCTCTTTCGAGAGGTAATGGTGACAACCTTCAATTTAGATCTTGTCTTAACCACTTGAAGTCCAGGGTGTTAAACCTCCTTCCTGTGCAGGCCATTTTTCAGTATTCAGCGCTGCGGTACTTTGACATTTATTCAGTCATACAACGCTGTACTAAAATTAATTTAATACCATTTTGTAGGGACAGATAGAGCTTTCTTTTGGTGGTATTTAATCACCACTGAAAATTTTGAGAAAAAAAAAACCTGTTTTCCCTACGTTATGTAATAAAACATTTATCAGCACCCAATTTTTTGGTAAAATATTAAAGACGGGGTCACGTCAGGTAAATAGATACCAAACATGTCAAGCTTTAAAATTGCGTGCGCCTGCGAAATCCCAAAAAACTACCATGCCTAAAATTGGCCATAGGCGATGCTTTTACTGCTCATCAGTTTAGTGTTATCAGTGATTAATGGCCCTTCAATTATTGCTCGCACTCCGACGTTCACGGTGACGTGTGGCATAATCGCTATTTTCATCCGATGCATATTTTTGTTTTTAGGTAAGTGCATGGGGGGGGACTTAAAACTTTTTAGTGGTTTTTTTTTTTTTTTTTTTCATAATTTTATTTGTAAAAAAAAAAGTTTAACATTTGATTGCAATCACATAGGGGGTTAAACATCCCCCTATGTGATAGCCAAAAAAACAATGACAGGTCCTCTTTATGGAGACATCAGGGAGCTCTAAGACCTCTAATGTCACCTGGGGACCCTTAAAGAAGCTGTTGAAGCAGGGATCTGCTTCACCAGCTTCTTCTTTGACTATAGCAGCCAACAAAATGACAGCTGAACGTGAAAGTGATGTAATACACATCGCTTCCGCCTTTAGAGAGAGGAGGAGGAGAGATAAGCGGTGGGGAATGCAGGGGGTGGAATTGCCGAATTCTTATTCAGCAAATGTTACTTGCCTTGTTGTCCTGTCCCAATTCTGGCTTCAATACTAAGTCGCTAACCCAAAACAAGTATGCAGAGAAGGGGGGCGGCACTCTGTACACCCTCATACAATCGATCGGCCAGCTATAGAGCTGGTCGAACACTTGTATATTAAAGTCGGCAACGGCGGGATGCTGCTCATGCTCGCCCGCGAGCAGAAAAAATCACTTAAATGTACGTCCACCCGCCGGGAAGCATCTGCCGTCTGCCCGTATTTTTGCGATGGGCGAACGGCAAGGGGTTAATGCGGCACAGGTTGCTGTAGCCTACATCACTACTTTTCCTATATATCTATATCAACATATACATAACACAAACATTACAGAGTTGGCATCAACAATGTACTACTCAATTGTAGTAGTTATATAATGTATTTATATGGAATTATAAATCAGACCTAAAGGAGGGACAATTGTGAAATAGAGTTTTAGTCCACATGAGAGATGGTGCAGAGGTGCTGTACGGATAGTGGTAAATAGCCTCCTTGTTTACACCATACTGCTGTCACCAACAGAGATTATGTTCTACCAGTCTAAACATTTTAATATGATTGAGTGCAGAACTCTGGCAATTGCACATGACATCACTATATTAATTTATTCATCTGTCTCATAATAATCCTTTAAATCCCCTTTTCCTTGTTTATTGATTTGCTTTTTGCCCACAATGTCCAAAATACAGGTCAACATTTAGAATTACACTGGATCCTTCTTGCGTCATGAATGCTGAGCTAAGCTGTATCTGTAACTGCAAAACAATATTTTCTAGATTTTTCTGTGCATATACAGTTGTGCTCCTCAGTTTACATACCCCTGTATGTAATGTATAAAATATTAGCTATTTTCGTTCCACTGTCACAAAACAGCTTGCTTGTAATATGACAAAAAGCTCCCAAATAAGCCTCAAAACAGAATCATTTGTAGTGATGAGACCAAAATTGAACTTGGTCACAACCATAAGGGCTTGTTCACACCAGATCTGGATGAGTTTCTGAATATGCAGTGCAGTGCGTTTTTGACGAGTTCCGGTCCGGTTTTTTCCTTTTGCCTAAAATGGGCTTTCAGGTGTAGTCCAGTGCCTTACAGAGCGTTTGCATGCATTTGGGTGTGTTTCAGAGCAGAAAAAATACTGCCCTCTGCAGTTTTTCCACATGCACTGGAACTCAATGCTGTGGTATGAACTAGAGCCCAAAATACCATTGGAATACATTGGAGGCATTTTTGATGCGTTATGTAACTGCCTTGCACTGCGCCTGTGCTGCACTTGGTGTGAACAAGCCTTAAATGTTTGGAGATGAACATTTGCATTCATCAGCCCTGAAAGTACACATGGGATGCACTTTCACCTCTCAACATGATAGTGATCCAAGTCCACCCTTAAGTGGCTGCAGGAGAAAAAAGTGAAGGTTCGAGAATGGTAATCACTCCTGACCTCAATATCACTGGGCCAGTTTGGGGAGATTTCAAACATGCAATTCATGCTAGACAACCAAAGCATTTGCCAAGAAACATGGGCAGCAAATAAAGAGCCTCATTTACAAATATCACAACCGTCAGTTGTTTCACTTGTAATGGGATTTCTCTTAGCAGTCCTTCAGAAAGGATGCTGATGGCAGTGCAAGGCACAAACATGGCTGTTAGATGGAAAATCTACAAATCTGTGTGTGGAATATGGTAATTGCATGGTATTATGACAATGAACAAGTAAAGTAAACATTTCGTAATGACTTGTAAAATTGGGATCTCAATCAACATACACTGCAGAGCTCCTTTTAAGAATAGGTGTGTGGTGGACAGTTTTTTTTTAAAGAATCACTTGAATAAACTTTGTTACCCTTTCCCTGCCTTCTGGCCTTCTACTTCCACTGAAAATAACTCCCTTTTTTATAAGTTTTCCTGGTGTTTTAGCTTTGTGAACTGAGCTGAATGAAAGCAACATTGAAACAGTTGGTACATCTAGTAAAAGGAGAACCATGGGGGTAAGTGTTTTTCCCCATAGTTCTCGAGTGTCACAGGAGGACATATACTAGCGCCCTCCCGTGACCCAAAGCTCAGTATATCGTGAGCTACAGCTCGCGGTATACTGAGACCGCCGCAGCCCGGACAGATCCTGACATTACTGTCGAGATCCACCCAGCTGCGTGAATGACAGCTGGCTCTGCCTATCTAGAGGCAGATCCAGCTGTACCCGCCCCTGCAGGGAATCTCTTTAGGGAACGGTGACTGACAGTCACCGCTCTCTGCAGGGAGATGATCGAGAAGTGAGCGAGCGATGGCATGTGTTCGCTCACTTCCCGATCTATTGAGCCGACGTGTGACAGTTTAATTGTCACACGTCGACTCGAACCATGAGGATGAGTGATTTTCACTCGCCTCATCGTTCTCCTTTAAGTTGACATTACCGGCATAGGAGATCTCTAAGGTTCTAATGTTTTATAAGCTTTATCTTTCTCATGCTGCCTGTCTTCTGAGGGGAATTTATCAAAACTGGAGAAGAAGAATCTGGAGCAGTTGCCTATGGCAACCAATCAGCTTCTCTATTTGGTTTGTTTAGTTAAGGTTTGAAAATGAAAGGTGGATGCTGATTGGTTGGCATGGGCAACTGCTCCAGATTCTGTCTGCTCCAGTTTTGACAAATTCCCCTGTCTGTAGCATTGCATTTGTTAAATATCATGTGCCTCCCCTTGCTAATGTCGGGGGTTGCACTTTAGGCCTCTTAAATCAATTAGGTTGACCACTGGGCTAAATGGATTCACATGCTATGAAGTTGTACAAAGATGCATCTATATTCAAAGTGCATTGGTATCATGCCAAGGGGGATGCTGATATCCCTGTACTTCTAGCACATACACATCATATTTATAATGCCTAATTATAAATAAGCCTCTCACAAAGACACTGTGCCTTAATACCCTATCTAAGGTAGAAGTACCAGTAGAGCCTAATTTAAGGCTTCCCACTTAGTCCTCTCTTGTCTCCTCACAGCTGAAGGGTCAGAGCCATATTAGTGAGACTGTTTTGCGGTTGCAGATCTAGTTGTTTTGGCAGCACTCTGGGTGAGTCATATTAAGATACAAAATGAAGAAACAAAGGCTGTTTCCAGGCACACTTGCATCACTGAGCAAGTACACATTACCGTATCAGCGTTTGTCATTTAACACAGCTATACTGAGCAGAGCCCTCTGTTTATCCGTCATACCCAGATGCAGCTTTTGTTTGTCTTCATGCGGAATATTTTTAGAATAAACATATTTGTTCTGCCTCTTATTAGAAATAAGATGAAAAAAACTGGTAATATTTAGTGACATATTATATAATGCAAAACACGCAATTGCATATGGAACATATTATGGAAGAGACGTTTACGCCACTTAGCTCCCAGGCAATTTGTTCTCCAAGCCCTCTGTGAGCCTTTCGGAAACGGTTATAAAATATCAGTACCATACATTGACCAGAAATGTTCGCTTTTAAGTTAAAAGCTCTGTTCAGATAACATAGACTTGCAGGTATCCTCCAATCTGAAACCGTTGTAACATTCACATATTTTATCTGCTTCATTAGTTTGCACTTGTACCTTTCTTGTGCCGCTACCTTTTTACCAGTCACCCTTTCATAGGTCATCAAGCACTCTCCAGGATTCCAAATATTTCTGTGCCCCCTAAAACAAAAAGTTTATCTCCCATTACCTACCTTTTTCCATCGGTACACAGGAAGAAACACCACAGCTCACATAACCATCAAGGACATGGGGATGCATCCCTTTGCTTGGTGGGCTGAGTGGCAGCCAGTGTTCATGATCCTGTGCATTCTGCATATGTAATGGCTGATAAAGCCTCTTTAGCATTGTAGGTGTGTGTGTGTGTGTGTTTGTCAGTGCTTGTGTGTTATTGTATTTCTGAATAAAATTGTAACTTAGCGCACATAACCTACCTGTACATTGTACCAAATGCTTTTATGCCTGTTATTTCATATGACTCAATAAACTCTAATCGGAGTAATGGAGTTATGGGGAGGCATAAAAATTAACTTAAACTAGGCCTAGATAATTTTAGATTTGGGTACACAATAGCAAATAGATGTGACTCTACAAAACACCATAGAGACTCCAGCAGTGTTGAAGCTGAATATAACAAAATTGAACAATACCCAAAATACATTAAAAATAAATCCATTGAGGTACACTTTTATGGTGATCTCACAGATCAATTAAAAACATGTTTGAGCTCCTTCAAACTAAACAGGTGTAGCTGCGTGTCTCAAAACATAATGGGGTAAAAAATTATTAAAAGACCTTAATTTAGCTGTTAATACACAAAGCATGACATTTTGCTTGTATGTCCCTGCAGTAAAAATGTAATTATGTCATTACACTAAATTCACTTAGTTGTGCCAGAGATAACGTTACTGCCAAGCCATTCCATATTTGGCACTACTTCTAGCACAGAAAATCAGTGACCAAAGTGTGTGCTTTTGTGTGAAGAGGTATTGGGCATGAGAAAGTTTGTGTTTAATTTTATTGTCCATATTTTAAGAGGCTGACCTCCATTTATGTACAATACAACACAATTCTTGCTGACAAATCTTTTGTGGCTATTATGAAGTTATTGTAATCCTATTCCGGAAACATTACAACTGTGCTAATCTCAAAGTCCTCTCATTTACCTTCAGTGATGTACAAATGTGGTGCTTATAGACTTGGCAGGCTTCTCAGGGCTTCTGGTAGAACTGTAGCTTCTTTTCATTTGATTCGTTGATTTGCATCCTCTCTCTAAAACCGCTTTGTAAGTGGTTAGTGCAGCAGTGAGTTCATAAGAAGGGCAATGATTAAACCAGTCAACACATACGGTAATTTGGGCATTTAAAAAAATTAAGCTAGCAGGATATGGACATAAAGAAGATGAAATCCACTAAGCAAGAAGACTTTGTCTGAATAAGTTAAATGCAAAATGTAAACTTTTGAGGTATATTTTTAACTGTTATCTTCTTACTTTTATCACAGCTTTACTTGAAGTAGAAACACATCCTTGATGATATTTAATGGTGAATATTTGTGTTTTCATTTCAGTTTTTATTCTTGTCGGAAGTCCTTCAGTGGAGAGCACAAACAACTCCTGATCATGTACTTTACACTTTGTTAAATTCAAGGGTAAGATCTACAATGTTCTAATGTCACCGGCTTTTGTGCTTTTTCACTGGACCCATTGCATCCAAATGACAGCGCTTTTAAACTGAGAAGATTGCACAGAAAACAATTTAATGTAACATCATGCATTTCTTTCTTTTAAATCCTACTTGCCTGCATGAAGCTGGCTGTTTACATCTGTTCTGCCTATTGTATCCTATTAAAACGGGAGAGGTAGATAGGGGTACAGTCTCTTTCTTGCTGAATTGTTAAGCTATCAGGGACATCAAAGGCTCTGTGTGGCATAATTGTGTCTAGCATACTGGAATGTATATGCTACGTTCAGTTTGTTGTTATAGATCTATGTATTAAATGTAACAATCCAGGAGTTCTGCCCTGTTCTTTTTAAATGGTGTCCTTCATATGTTTTGTCCAAGATGGTGTTGGCCGCTGCCAAATTTTTTACATGCTCTATCCCTTCCTTTTGGCAAATATTTCACTTTCCAAATTAGTAATAGGGAACACTATCACAACTCAGAAAGCCTCACTTGACTTCAGCTCTAGGATGAGAATACCTAATTGTGGGACCATAAAACAGTGGTCAGTTTAATGACATAAGCAAAAATGCATGAGAAAGCAAATGTTTACTTCAAGTCAAAATGTGCCTTTCTTAAACCTCTAAACTCTTTTGATCTTTGTGAATAATACCCTGTTTTCATCTGCAGGGAACAATAGCCAACTCTCTGACATGTAGCCAACTGCATAAGCGAGCTGAAAAGATTGCTGTGATGTTAATGGAAAGGGGACATTTACAGGATGGAGATCATGTGGCTCTTGTGTATCCTCCAGGTGCTGTTTTTTTTTTCTTCATAGATAACATTTTGTCTTTATTATGTGTTTTATGTATTATGTCTCAAAATTGATAACCAGTGGCAGACTATCAGTGGCAATGGCAGAATGGGCATCTCTCTAACCGGCCTGATTTCAAGGGGTCAATGGGTCTTCTGCAACAACGTTGTAATAAATGGTGTTGTAGTAATACCCCTAAGCAGGTGTCCCCTGCACAGCCCTGGATAATACTACCGGCAGCTGTGCAGAAACCCCTTCACAGCAGTAACTTGACTAGGAGCACTACTGCACCCTTTCCCCAATGAATGATGAGGAGAGAATGCAGGATCACCTTAGTATCTGGGACAGGGTGCTCTTGTGGCATATAAATGTGGTTCCTGTAGAGCATGGCACAGTGCAACCTATGACTTTGTGGAGCCCTGCATAGAGTTCATGCTAAACCTACAGCCTCTTTGTATTGAATTATTTTCTTAGTGAACTCCAGTGGTGGCTGAATGTCATTTTCTCAGGGTGGGCTTCCTGATGGTGACAACAGTGGAGCATGCTTGTGTATTTTATGTTAAAACAGTCACATGTAGGCTTAATCAAAACGCTGTGTGACAGGGTGACAATGCAGGAGCACAATTGAGAAACAGGCACAGAGTGTTTTCACCTGAACAAGGACCTTCATGGCAGTATCAATAGCTAATTATTTTAACCCAAGCTGCAGATTAAAGAAAAATAAAAATTACTTTGAAATTCCACTGACATGTTACAGCCAATATAAGATTTTAATGGTTAGGTTTACATGTACTTTGTGAAAATAACAGTTACTCCTTTGCTTACAGACTGATGGCATTTTATTACTTTTTTTATGCAGGAATAGACCTGATTGCAGCATTTTATGGCTGTCTGTATGCAGGCTGTGTGCCAATAACTGTGCGACCTCCACACCCGCAGAATATTGCAACCACGCTGCCAACAGTGAAGATGATAGTGGAGGTAAGACCTGGATCTTCTGTGACAAACTTCCGAGGTTAAAGACAATCATTTCTATTACATGTGGGACATTACTGATCTGCAGATATAATTTTTCATCAGTTCAGTGCGTCTGTGTAAAGAAAACAGGATGGATTGTGTAGTCTGCTTATGAATACTTGTATGCACACAATGATCTCATCGATAACATAAGCACACCTTGTTGTAAAATGGCTAAATGTCTTCATTGTAGCCTACCAATAGAAAATATTCAAAAACCTCAAAACAAATATATGTATAATATATATATCCTAGAAAATAACAACCTATTGGGGTGACTTGAGAATCACTGAATTATCTGATGATGAGTTCTGATACAGTATCTTCCTAAGGCCATGCTCCCATGAGCCCTGGATTTGGTTGCTGATGCAGTGTCCATAGTGTTGGTGCAGTGTTAAGGGGATCTACCTGGGAGAAGCAACAGAAGTGAAAAGCTAGCCATGGTACAGTCACCGTACAGCTTTGGTGGGTGGGGGAGCTGTTGGCGTGGCTCAAATACGATATTACAGTACTTTGTTTAAATGCCTATTAAAGATGGCCATAGTCTAGTAGATGTTTCTCTGCACAATCTACATGTCACCGTCTGGTCTTTCTACAACTTGTTCATATGACTGGTGGTTGAAGGAAGAACTATCTTTGATGCTGGAGCCCTTCCCCCAAGATCTCCCTCGTATCCTGCGGATAACATATTAAGGCATTTTAGAGGTTCTGTATAGAAATGTAGACCAAAAAAGCCCTACCAGCAGCAGTTAAATAATTACTTTGAATTGTTTTAACCTGCATATTTAAAGTGGAGCCTGAAATGTCATTGTTTGCAGGTGGTAGCAGTTTACCTTTTCCCCCCCCCCTCTAGTTTATTTAAATGAGCCTTTCTGTTGTGTATCTAAAGGTGCCCATACACCTTACAATTATCTGCAGATTTTCTGTGGTCAGATGGAAAAAGTGCAACAGATTGGCCCATGTGGAGATTCCTCCATCCACACAGTTAAGTGTAGATGGAGGAATCTGTTGCACCTTTTCCATCTGACCACAGAAAATCTGCAGATAGTTGTAAGGTGTATGGCCAGCTTTAGTTACGAACATGTTATGATAATAGAAGGAAAAAGTGGAACCACACACTTCAAATTAAACAGATCCTAATTGCCTTATAAACAACGTGAAGTTTTTTGTTTTTTTTTGTAAAATTAATTTTCATTTGCATCTCGGATTTCATGCTCATTAGTTAATAAACTTTTAGTTATGCTCATCAAAAATGTTTGGAACAGAAGCTACTTATTAATTAAACAATCCCAACATTTAAAGGGACTTGCCACCTCATGTCAACTTTATCTGAAATTAGTTAAGAAGTTGTTTTTTTTTTCCATTCCCTCTCATAAACAAGAGTGTGACCCTATTTATCATTCACATTGCCTGGCCAGGCTTAGTCTCTTAGGCCTCATTCACACTGGAATCGGCTGGCGCATGCCGGGCCGTCGAGCAGCTCCCGGGAAGGACAGGTGCCGCGTGTGATTAGTACGCCCCCAACGTGTGATTAGTACGCCCCCCTAGGCTCACCTCAAGTGCAGGTCCGTATGGGTGCGTGTTAACTGGCTCAGACGCAGACGGGATCCATCCTGTCGGTGTACAAGTACGTTCACCTGCATGGACGTGCAGGGCAGGTGAACGTAGGGGGGCGTACGGCCACATAGTACCATAGAGAAGGACGGGGACTGCGTGCTAATCACACGCAGCACCTGTCCTTCCCGGGAGCTGCCCAATGCAGCCCTGCACGCAGCACGGAGTTGTACGTGCCGGCCGATTCCAGTGTGAATAAGCCCTTAAGGCGCCCTTTCTCATCCAGGGTGCTGTGGCACCCTGGAGTGCCTTTTGGCTTCCTCAGGGGTGCCTCGAGATTTCCAGTGTCATGCCTTTGCATGGTGCAGGCAGTCCGGCCACTAGCACCATGGGAATGAATAATGCCAATCCAGGGAAGGTGGTATCCATTCAGAAAAGGACAGAAGTTTGCCTCTGTCTAGGACTGCTCCACCTCCTCTTCTCTGCCATGCTGCAGTGGCTCCTGCTGTGATGGAAGGGCTTTATTGTAATGGGAGGGCTGAGGACTCTGATGTGAAGGGGGAACCTTATGTGAAAGTGGGCTTTAATGTAAATGAGGGATTCTGATGTTGCAGTGTGAGGGTGGAGACTGATGTGAAGGCGGGTTCTGATGAAAAGGGGGACTCTTATGTGAAAGGAGAGGGGGGTTCTTATATGGATGGGGAAGCCCACTTTTTTGCTTCATAAAATGTTTACCAGATCCCTGTCTCGGATAAGTATGGATTTTGAATGTTTGGCTTCTCAATACAGCTTTGCTCCCTTTTGTGCTAACGTTCATAAAATTCATGCTGTGACTTTTAATACATTAGTGCCAGAGATTGCTCAGTGTGTGAAATCTGGGGTGTTGACAGTGTCATTACTCACGATAATAAGAAATACATTGCACATTCATTTATTAATATGAAGTATATAGCAGCTTTATTTAAGATCTATGAAAGCTTCACAGGGTATAAATGATGGAAATAGGGAAATTATTGATCGATACTGCAGTTTTGTCCTTGGTAACAAGTTAGTTATACAGTAAGGATAAAGTAGTTAGAATGTGCATATCTGTGGATATGGTTGCTGATTGTGGTTTATTTCTTTGGATGTGCCCTTCAGTCTGATAGCACTTTCTTTTGGCGGATCCAGACATAATTGTCGGGATCCGCTTCAGCTGGGGCGTCTAAGTATACCGCGAGCAGCAGCTCACGGTATACTGTGGCATCTCAGTATACCGCGAGCTACAGCGACGGGAGGACGCTAGTTTGTGTCCTCCCGTTACCCTAAGGAGAACTATGGGGAAAAGCCTTAACCCCATAGTTCTCCTTTAAATACTCATGGGCCAGTGAATGAGTCAGAGAGATGAACAACCATCTCTCTTATATTTTTACTGCTTGTTCCTCGCGTTTTACCCTAGTGTATGGAGAGAAAAAAATGTCTAAATTCTAAAAATTTCTAAATTCTAGAAACATGCTGCTTTCTCCTTTTTTATTTGAGTGCTCCTAATTAATTGACTTTCCCTTTCTGAACACTGCGTATAAAGCATGTACCATGCTGTCTTATCAGGTACTGGAAATATCCTCCTTACCATCTTGTCTTGAATTGTATTGTAACTGTAATGTCTTCCTTATATTGTAAAGCGCTGCGCAAACTGTTGTCGCTATATAAATACTATAATAATAATAGTAATATCACTGACGTTGTAGCCATGCACTGGTCGCCAGGATTGCTTCCAGCAAAATTATGCCAGTGGGTCCTGGTGCAAACTTTAACTAGGACCTCTGATAAATATTAATAATTGCAAGGTTGCTCTTTTTAATATTTACGGTGCTATATTTGAAATATGCAAATTTTCTGTAAATCATTTCAATAAATGCAGATACAGTGAAGAAAAAAAAATAAGTTAAGTGAAGACAAATGTTACATTCAGCCATTCCATGCAGTAACAGATAGAGGCGAGTATGATTTTAGCAAACTTAATTTCCCTGCTAAAATACCAATTCTGCCTGTGGCACAAC